CTCAAAAGAATATAAAATAGTGTTCAATTATATTCCTAAATCATACCATTTAATGAATATTCATTTTAATGACATTTAAGTCACAATAAAATTTTTTTAGTTAAAAATCAGGTTGAGCACCTATCAATAAAAAATTTGTTTCTCTCAATCCTAAAAGAATTTCTTCTTGAAATATTTTGTGTTGAAAACTAGACTCAAAACCAAATCATAACATCATAGTTTGAATGCCAAATAATATTTTTATTCAGATAAATAAATAAGTAACATTCACGTCACAAAATAAATCATACTGCAGAATTCTAGGATGAACATTATCTAGTAAAATTTTATTTTGTCTCTACCATCATAGAGTTTCCCTTTCAAGCCAATTTTGTTTCAAATTAGACATATAATGATAGCATATATATTTTCACAAGCCTCATATGACTTTGTTTAGTAGGCTTGATAAATATAGTTATTCATGCCTCAATAAAGAACATACCAAATTGCAGAAAATTCAAGATGACCTCTCTTCAATCCAAAATTTTTATTCCTCTCTTTCTACAGATATTTCTCTCTCAAATAAATTTTATTACAAATTAGACTTAGAATGGAATTCTAAAAATTTAGTGTCAACCATAAAACATTCTGTTAAGTATACCAATAAAATCATGACTTCCAAGTCATGGAAATAGTTTTCGTTGAAGAAAATAATACTTGTGCACCCTTCAATAAATTGATCATATCTTTCAAAACACAACAAATTTCTTTATGAAACATTTTTTTCTTGAAAGTAGACTCAATTTTGTGAGTTATGATAAAATTATATGATTAGTGAGAAAAATTACGGAACTCAATGGACAGTTCTTGAATTTTGCATGGTCAGAACTGACCGCCTTCATTGTTGAGTCCATAACTCTCAATTTCTATAGGATCTCCCATTGAAATTTTGTAGGTAAATCCTACTCATAAATACATAAAATATCATTGAGTATATAATAGAAAAATACCTCATTATATTATTCATATCTCTATTCTAAAATAGCATAGAATACTCATTACGCGGAGTGCCTTTTCGGTGTTGGATTATTTCAATAATTCTTAACCGTAAGTGTATTTCTTGACCATAAAGGTCATTAGCTTTCTTATATCTCATTCCCAAGCTTGATTTAAACTCAATAAAGAGAAAAGATAACTAATGACATCAAGTATCAATAGCTCTGATACCAATGAAAGAAAGACCTATGTGATCTTTTACTGGGGAATATATATATATATATATATATATATATATTCACCCCTTTCTTATGGCAAAAGATCACTTACAATTGGTTTTTATTATAATGAGATAAATTTTAAAATAAAATCAATATAACAATAAAACCAAGATCTTAACAACTTGATGCCATTGAAACAACTATGTATTATGTTTGAGAATAAAAGATAAGATTGCAAGAAACAAAAGGAAGAGTGTCAGAGATTACCTAAACCGGGTTTATTACACCCCACACCGAGTCACCACCATCCGATGGCGTGGGATCAACGGTCTAGCTTCAATCTCGAACTGAGAAAGAAAATTTCAGTCAAGCCACACCAATGGAACATGAATCCCTTTGATCACAAACTCAAACCCTAGGTGAATTCTCTTAACAACCTAATTTGAGAGAGATGAATTCTCTTTCTGCTAAACCCTAAAACCCTTAGCCATAAACCCATATTTGAGAGATAGGAGAGAAGAACTCCATAACATAAACTCTTAGGTTCTTTCACAATGTGGGAGAGAGAGATCAAACATGAGAGAGATAAACTTTCTTAATAGAAGGAGATAGAAAGTTAAGGTGTCGAGGATTTTTGGTAGAGACAATCCTTCTTTTTAAGCTTTGAATAAGATTAGGGTTTTCTTTGGCTTGCCTCTTCTTGTGAGATTGAGCATAGACCGTCGATCAATGGTGACTTGTGGGGTGAGAGATTTGAGTCATCCATTCTATAGATGGGCCATCAACATTATGGAAGGTACATGAACCATTATCCCTTTTTCCTAAACCATTTTCCCATCAATAGAAATTAAATAAATTAAATCTAATCAAAATATTGTGTATACCATAAAATAGCACAAGTCTACTCAATCTTTCCACAAAATCTTTCAAATGTATATCAAGTCAATATTTATTCAATATCTTCCAACAATATGGCCACATACCATATCACCAAAAAATAGGAAAGAGAATAAGGGCGGGGCGTGCCACCCAAGGGAGGCACTCATGGGCCCCACCTTCTAAAAATATGGCGGGCCCATGTGCACAATGGGCTCCATAATATTTTTATATATTTAAAATTAATAAAAAAAATTTAGAATATTATTTGAATATTTAAACAATTGTAAACTCAATATCTTTAATTTTATAAATCCAAAAATTATTAAATAAAATATCCAAGGGTTTATAAAAATTCAAATAATAATATTAAAATAATTTAAATCATAAAACAAACATAATTAAATTAATTTAATGGAAAAATTATCCATATGGTTTGGGAATCAACAATCATGAGGCACTCCACTTTCAACTGTGGACTACAGACCACACTTGCTTTATCAGACCAACCCAGTGTTTTCCATGACCTATAGTCCAAGCAGGGGCTAATTAGTGAGTCACCAAAATCAGGTCGATGAGCCAAGCGATCGCAATCCCAATACGTGGATTTCAAGTCCTCCCCTAGAGACGCGTTAATGTCATCTAGACCTGATGCGACTATAGCTCCTATGGTGCATAGGGTCATCTCTCATACATGCATACGCTTCACCATAAAAGGTGGATTTCTGGCTTTCCCAAACGATCTCTCGATATGCATGTCGTGTGATGGTACATGGATGAGGTTTTGGCCCCTGTCTCTGTAGGTCACCATCACACACAAGGGTCACACAGTCCTTTGGCTCACTCATCTGGGCATGTTCTCTGACCTCATCAAGGCCTTACTCATAAACCCTCATCAGTTTGTTCTTCATGCCCAAGTAACATGGGTTTTTTCCAACCGACTGACTTAGATCGTTAAGCATATATTGATATAAGCAAACTATCATTTGCTTAGTATGGTCCATGAGGACTCCACTCTCATTGAGTTCATGTTCCACTACATCATTTCATTTTACAAGCATTCATAAAGCCTTTAAAGCCCATATAAACACAACATAAGAAGGCCTAATTCTTAAAGAAACCTCAAAAGTTAATTACAAAGATTGAGTTTGGGGACCCAAAAAGGCCCTCGAGCTTACAAATGACATCTCAAAAAGGAAACCCAACAAAATCCACTTCTGATTTCTTTGAACCACACAAAACATTAGGGTAATTGGATATCCAATGTTTTGAAAAGTTGAGTCGGGCCTTAGATTCCACCCTAGCCCAAGCCGAGTTACTCTAGTGGACTCCACCCTGGCCCAAGCTGAGTTACTCTAGTGGACTCCACCCTGGCCCAAGCCGAGTCACTCTAGTGGACTCACCCGAGGAGAGTGCTATGTCAAAAAGTTTTAAAACATATAGAATATTGAAGGAATTTGTTAAAGGTAAAATAAAAAATAGAAAAAAAAGAAAATTAAACCAAACAAAAATCCAAATAAACTAAAATATATATAAAACATGATTTGGAAAATTGATTTATGGAGACATTTCTTAAAAATAAATAGATCAAGAGAAAAATATAAAATTAGTGCATGGGACAAGAAAAAATCACAAAGCATATTTTTGAACATCCAAATTACATATGAAATATTTACACGTTGATTTCACTACTTACAATTATTTTTTTATTTTCTAATCAGCGTAATTTTTTACCCGACTCAAAAAGGGGCCAAGTCTCAATAACTTGGCCTGTGTCCATTGAATTGTAAGCACTATTCATAATTCCATTCAGATTTTAGATTTTGAAAAGGCACATAAATAAAAGGAAAAAGTTTCTAAAAAGTCTCAACCTCATACTATTAAAGTGAGATGCATCTAAAATCCTTTAGAAGAGAGCATTTCGATAATGAAAAACCTTCTAATTTGATCATCTCAACCTCAAGATATATAAATAAATTTTTAAACCATCAAAAGGTTTCGATCACAGCATGTTTGCGAATGGAAGATGGAGAGAGAAGGAGTGAGTTTTCTAAATAGTGGTCTACATCATTGGCATCGGTATTTTAAAAATTGGATTGAGAACTACCCACTTCATCTTGTCCCAAATGGACATGGTGGATTATCCATCCGGGTCCAGAAAACCATGAACTTGTCCAATTTCTACTCCTTTTGTTTTATTGTTACTTTTTTTATTTCTATACAAGTTTTCATAGGTGAACCCCAACTGAACTGGCTAGTTCAACGACCCCGATCGGATCAGCCCAGCCCACTAATGTGGTTCTTAACACACTTCTGCATAAAGTTTTCCCATAATTAGTGGCGACAGAGAGAGAGAGAGAGAGATTCTGAGTGGTCTTGGTTTGTGCAAAAAGTTCCTACAATTTGGTGTTATGGCTTAATTAATCATCCGTGAGTAGCAACTTGAGTACACGGTGTTTTTAGACTCGGCTGGGCCACTTGGACTCGGCCAAATTATTCGGCTTTTGTTGTACTTCAGTTTTTTTTGGTTATATAGAATAATGTATTATTTTTAATTTAAACACCCAAAGGGCTTGCTAGTTATATAGAATAATGTATTATATTTAATTCAAACACCCAAAGGGCATGCTAGTTATATAGAACAATGTATTATTTTTAATTCAAACACCCAAAGGGCCTGCCGGGCGGTGCGCATGTTCATTTTGTGGTTCCAATCGTGCCAAGATGTTACCTTAGGGCCAGTTTGGATGTCAAATAAAAAAATCTTCACATTGAAAAAAATCATAAGTTTCTTCATCTTTAATTAAGAAACCTTGCCATCTTTTTTTAGTAAACAATTTACTTTCATACAATAAGCAAACCTGAGCTTCTCTTCATCCTGAGCTTCTCTTTATTCATGAAGAGAAGGGGTTTTTTATGGGTGTGGTATGAAAGAAAAGGTTAGTCTTTTTTGTAAAGAGAGAAAGGGCCTTAGCATTACAAAAATACCGCCTAGGGCTACCATGAATGGGGCTTGAGCTTCTCTGGTTTTTTGCAACCCGAGCTTCTCCTTATTCATGAAGAGAAGGGGCTTCCCATCGGTGTGGTATGAAATAAAAGACTCGCCTAGGGCTGTCATGAATGGGGCTTGAGCTTCTTTAATTTTTTGCAACCCGAGCTTCATGAACCGAGCTTGTCCTTATTGTCTTTTGTAGAGAGAAATGGGCTTGCTTTACAAAGACACCCGCTTAGGTCGAGCTTCTGTGGTTTCTTACAACAGATTACAACCGAGCCCATGGTGTGGTATGAGAGAGCCTTTTGTAGAAGGAAAAAGGGCCTTGGCTTTACAAAAATCCCACATAAGGCTATCATAGATGGGGCTTGATCCCATAGTGTGGTATGAGAGAAAAGGCTGAAAGGGCTTTGGCTCTACAAAAATGCCGCCTAGGGCTGCCATAGATGGGGCTTGGGCTTCTCTGTTCTTTTGCAATCCGAGTCTCTGCTTATTCATGAAGAGAAGGGGCTTCCCATGGGCACCTTTTGTAGAGAGAGAAAAGGTCTTTGTAAAAAAAAAAATTTATAAACGAGAGTTCAAAGAAAAAAGTGCCAAATGAGGGATCAAACTCAAAACATCTCACAAAGGGGTATTCTAAGAGGGGAGATACAAACCGACACGCCATTTAACATTGGCTTCAAATAAAGTAGGGCTATACTAGAGTGAGTTACTAGGACTCGGCCGAATAAGCCATGGCCGAATCGACTTTCAAAACAGTGTGTGTACAAATTGATTAGGACTATGGTGAAGTTGGAGGGTTCAATCACCCATCTTATCATACATATCTTGATATACATTCAAGAAAATCAGAGGAGTAAAGGTAAAAGGGGTGAATTTATTAATATAAATAGATTGTTCACCATTACAACTCTCCCCATTGGACCCGAAATGCGTTGGCGCTAAATGAATGGCTTATCTGTAAAGAAAGACTAAAGAGAAACAAGGAGAAGTCTATACTGCATTCACATCCCAACTGGGTAGCCTTTGGCAAAATCCCAGGTTTGGAAAGAAAAAGAAAGCCCTTCCTCCTTTCTTTACAATTCTCCTGACATTTTCCATTTCACAAGGGACTGTAGGAAAGCCATCACCTGCATACCACACACACAACTATCATCAATTTCAACATCTCCTCTCTCTCTCTCTCTCTCTCTCTTCTCTCTCTCTCTCTCTCTCTCTCTCTCTCTCTCTATGGTGGTTGAGTTTGGGGTTCAGCCTCTTGTCTTAATGTTCAGATAGTATCTAAGCAAGTCCTAAAACCTGGGGTTGGACTTGATTGGCTAAGGTGTTGACAAGTGCATGACTATGGCTCAAGATCGAATTCTTTCGATGAAATCCCCAGGTTTGAATACTATGCATGTCATTGCACAAAAATGGTAAGCGATTCTGTAAATGAACTCCAATGGTTTCATGATCAAGAAAGCTGCTTGGAATGGTCATTGATTTGGTTTGGTTGACTTGTGATTTACATCGTTCCGTTGCTCCTAAACGGTAAGGTCGTAAAAATAGGATCCTTACAGTCATGACCCCTTGAATCAGATAGTTTAACTAGATTACTGTATTAGGAGGTGGGGAACGAAGATATTTTATCATTTACTGTTTAAAGAATATTTTGGTGGGAATCAAATCTCGACACTTGCTATATTCTAATGTATTGCTACCACCATACCAATAATTGGAGATTTATGCATATTCTATTTGTTTTGCGCGAATTAGTATATGTGGGACCTTTAATTTATTTCCAAAAATATTGTTACATAGTCTAAATTTTAAATCAAGGATCTAGCACAATAGCTGCTTAATTGCTAATTTGTTAACAGTTATTTTATTTTAATTTTACATTGTAATGGTTGGCAAGCAGTAAATATGAATGGTTGAGACCACAATCTTAACAAGGCAGATATTGCACATATTAATCCAACATTATGTACGATAAGATTCATGGATCTTGATAGATCTCGCAAGTAATGCCTTTTTAACCATTGATTCTCTACAAAAACACAAGCTAACATAAGTGTGTGCATCTGCCTGAAGAAAAATTTAAAGGAAACTGTGTGGATGGATTTATGATGGTAGAAAACCATACCTCAGATGGGTCCTTAAGGGAATAAAAGGCAGAAGAGGGCCTTGGATAGGCAGATACTAAAATGCCACAACCTTGACCCTTTTCTCTCAGAGCCTTAAAGGCATCTTCATCAGTTCGATCATCTCCAATATATATAGGAAACACATCGAGGCCATCGTTTAGACCTGCAACAATTGTCCCAAATGGATGAACATAAAATTCATTTTTGCATTTTTTACTGTGTTTAGCACTTCAATTACTAACAGGGCTATTTGGTCTTGTTTCTTACCGAGAGATTCCAGTAAAAATTCAACAGCTTTCCCTTTATCCCATTTAATGATTGGACGAATCTCTAGTACCTGCAAATATATACTCTTGTTACTACTACTGTACGTCTCTATCTATGATTCCTGCAGTATACAATCTGATCGCTTATCAAAATTTATCTCGTGTCAGCCATAGTTGTTGTCTTACTCAATGTCCTATGTAACTGATTAATTACCAGACTATGCTTTATATAAAGTAGACCCAAAGCAACAGTATGCTAGGCCTACATCAAAGAACACTAATTTTCTTTACATCTTGGATAACCAGGTCACATTCTAATTTGCATATGATAATCAAAACAGAATCAGTTTTTAAGATTTTCGGAAAAAAGAATTACCTTCCTACCATGACACACTCTCAGTTTGGGGTATCCTTCCAGAATGTTGAACACATGATTTGCAATTATGTCCCAGCTCTGATAAATATAAAAAGGGCAATTGTTAATTGGTGTCATCATATGGATCATCAAAGACCATCATGGGGATGCTTATTGAAGCCCATAGTGCATCAAATATACATATATGGATGTTTGCCTCATATAGAGGCACATAACTGTGAGTCACTTCAAACTGATCAGAAAACTTACATCTTCATCAACGCATCGATAATGCACAGAAACACAAAACTTATTGTTCTCCACCTTCACCCCGTTGATCTCCTTTGTACATTCCACAAGAGATTTGAAAACCTGCATAATTGATTTTTAATTGTCTAGAAAAATATTTATTTAGATCTTTATGTATGACAAGAAAAATAACATAAGGACAGTGTACCTCCTCAATCATTGGTATGAATTCTCTGGCAGGTTGAAATAAACTAACTTCTTTCCCCTGCATGTCCAAACAATCATTTGATAAACAAATACTTTGACTTTCGATACTCAGGGTGACGTAAATGCATATAAAATGGGCATATCTCTGTTAAATTCAGTAAATCTCAAAACATTAACTCCATTGCCAATCTATGCATTCCACTTATAATATACAGCACCACTAAAGCAGCAGCTTAGTGTGATCATGTCATTAATTTTATTATCGGTTAGTAAAGCATGGTGACCAACTAGATCCCATGGATTATGGAAACACCATTTACCATTTTAAGGGTGAGAGAGAAAGAACGTGTCAGAGATTCTCCAAATCCTAAAATACGAAAACCGACAACTCTCAATATAGAAATGTGCTGAGTCTTGAATAATTCAATTTTTAATTACATGAGGTGCAGTTAGTCATTATGTGCATTATCTTTTCTTGATTCATATTAATGAGCAAAAGACTGACCTCTTTGTCCGTCGATCTGACACAGCTTTCTGAATAATTACTTGGTTCCGAACTTCTAACAGGCCCCATAATATCCATCCCATGGCTACCGGCATAATAAAGCTCAGATAACGCCACAAATTCATTAACCTGAAAATGCTCATAATAATTCATGGCCACTATCAGACCAATGTTAACCACCAACTGAAGCAAAATGCTGATGATTTTAAGATGGATCTTCATTAAAAGTACCTTATGACGGGATCTCCCACTAATTATAGCTGTCGGAAAGAGCTTCACAAGTTCACGAACAGTAGCACGCATCTTTACACAAAGCATGAATTGTCTTGCTTAACATTGATTCATTTGGATTTCAATAAAAATAAGCATCAATTAATTCATTTTCTAGCGACAATCATTGATAGAAGTTTACCGCATCAGACATGAAGGCTGCATCAGGATCATCAACGATGGGTGACAGTGTTCCGTCATAGTCCAAAAACAATACGAAAGATTTTCCTTTTGCAAATGTAACAAGTTGTTCAAAAGAACTTAGAGCTGATGGGTACTTCAACTGCCAAAAGTGAAGCTTAAATGAAGTAAAGACAGGAAAGAAAGTTGTTGATATGTTAATTAAGTACTATGTTTCCAGAAAAACCCCTGAATGAAGCTCATGGTAGAAAATGAATGAAATCTATAATTACGCTGAAGACTAGATAAACACCTAAACGATAAAAATAAAAAAACTCATTAGACTTACCTTCCATGAATTATATGCTGCTTCAGCATTTTCATGCATTGCGAAAATGGAGTTTCCATCCCTGACGGCACCTTTTCGAGGGGGTGAAGAAGCTTTCATGGCATCAAGCCACCCATTTTCTCGAACATCCTCAAGAGTGCTTAGCATGGATTTCTTCTGAGGGGATGTCAATAGACGTCCAGAAAGAGAGCGAGATGTGTAAGATGGTGCAGGGGGTGAACAGAGAAGCAATGGTGATGGAATGCCTAATCTCGACTTGGCTAGAGGTGGAGAATCCGTCAGCACAGGAGAAGTATGCTCTTGCTTCATTTCAGTGGAAAGATATAGATTGGTCTTTGAAGAATCAATGGTGGCCCTTGGATCAAAGCTTCAAAGGAGTGTGAAATGATGCTTATCTATGGAGAACAACTTCTAGGGAGTCTTTGATGCCTTTGTGTTTGCTTGTGCAGACACCTAGAGAGATTGTCCTGAAAACTAAGATCCAAAATGCAAGAAAAATCAATGAAAGAATAGTACAACTTAAGCTGGACACACTGAAAAGAGCCGCTTCGTCAACCTATGCATTTTCAGTTTTTCACAAGTGAATAATAAGTCACGGATAAGGGATTTACATAGTCAACCAGGGGCTCTAATAAGCAACAAAAAGAACTTTGAACCACAAATCAGAATGAAAATTCAACCAAACCAACCCCATAGAAGTCTGGACAGAACACGGATCCATTTTCACGGAAGGTATTCCTCAGATATTGACATAATAAAGATGGGACTCTGTAACGATACTCTATAATACTTGTTTCCTGGAGTACCAAATTCAATGTGCTTCATTTGAACCAACAAACTCTGCAAAGCACTGAATGAGAAATTTCCTGCCACCTATGATCCTATCAAGAACACTGTGATAACAAACCGAGCAAAAGGAAGTCCACCAGGAACCCCAATGAAGGATATAGCACAAATACAGGAAGAGTTCATGTGGTACAAGTTACCATACTCTTTTGTGTAACCAGTGAAACCAGCTGATACTAATTATTCCTCTGCTCAGAACAGTTATGTCTACTTTAGCAGAGGAACAGCCAATATCAGTCTTTAGATGTAACTGGTACAATACTCTGTATCATCTGAATGGAATGGTACCAGCTACACACACACACAAAGATCTCTCAAATAAGTATGAAAATGTGAACCCAGTTCTATAAAAGTATCAAATAGAGAGCTTATGCGTAAAACCTCTAAATAAGATGGCAGACAAGGCCAATATATAAAAATTAAATATCTATAGAATGGATTAAAGTTTCCGAGAGAAAGATGTTATCCTCGGGAATCCATTTGCAAAGCACTATTAAGGAATAAAAAAAAGTTAAGAAAAAATGGGGCATCGTAATATTTCTCGACTTTAAAATCATGTAAACTAGAACTTCCCCTTAATTTTATAAATCATTTTTATATAGTTAATGTATGATATTAAAAGTGTTATTTATCAAAAAGGAAAAAAGTATATGCTCATATAAATCTACTCAGATTTAGCTATATTTTAAAATGGTTGCAGAAAAAGTCATACAGGAAAGGAAATCCACAATGTTAATGAAAGCCTATTTTATTCTTTTTCAAGAGTACCATGAAATTTACTGGAAAGTTCAATAAAAGTTACATTTTGCAGCTATTTCATACTATTTATGAATGCCAGTCAAATTTGCAATTCTGAGTTGTAATAAAACTCTCTGTACCAAACATTCAACACCTCACATGGGTTAATTTATCAAAACTTTTCTTGCTCCAAACAATAAATCATTTTTTTGTTTTTCTATAAATTTTTTGCTCAACCCGAGATCGAAGGAAACAAAATAATTGCAAACGACAAAAATACGTGGCTTCAATCGAAGAGTGGCTTCGATTGAAAATAATACAGCTAAAAAGGGAATGTCAACGCAATGTGACACGCAGAACTCATCGTAATTGCATCGAGATCGAAGGATACGATCCAAATTAATTAGTTTTACAAACACATTTAAAACACTAAGACATGTCCCTTTGATATCAAGGCATTGACATGAAGATAAATAAAAAACCAAATAGAATGGAGAAGGGGAAAAATAAAATTGTCTCTTACAGACTGTTCTAGCATCATGCATGAAAAGAACAACAAAGGAAGAAGAAGCCAGTGAAGGAAAATACATGCAAAAATAAGGAACAACAAAGAAGAAACAGAATCAGGGAAAAGGAAATAAAGAAGATGAAAAAAATCAAACATGCAAAAGTGATTCTGCATAAAGGGAGAGCACCAATCAAATTAATCAACAATGCCAAATTCAGGGTCTCTCTTATGGGGATTCACCAAAACAAACAAACAAAAATTCTCACACCCCAACTACCCTTTCTCTTATTAAAACTCATTCCATGCAGAAAGCACCGAATCACAGCGCAATGAGCATGAAATCACAGCCCAAGGAATCATAAAAGCCAGAGGAAATACGAACCATTAGGGACAAAACATCACGCAGCAAACAAACGAAAAAAACCATCAACCATTGCAATGACCATGTTTTTTTAGAAAAGGAGAAAGAGATACAAAGAAGAGAGAGATGAGCTCATACCTTTCATATAAGGTCTGAATCAATCTGACTAAGGTAGAACAAAAACCAGGTGATTAAATTGAGAAACACCAAAAAAACCAGAAAACGCAAGAAAGAGAGAGAAACAGAGAAACAAAATGCAAGAAAGAGAAAAAGAAGTGGGGAAAAAGGAAGTTAAAAATACGAAAGAAAAAGAGCTAAAAAGGGTCGGGGCCTCGTTTATAATTCATAATCAATTCAATGGGCTCCATGGGCCCGCGTTGACTGGGACAACCGGTCTCCGAGTCATACGGAGCGAAACCGCTCCCGTTACGGTGACCGGCCCCACCGGTCCCCGAGGCGTCCACGTCAGCACCAACGGAACACCGACTGACATCTTAAGTGTTGGAGCCCGCGCAGTCAGCCACGTAGCGGTCGGAGTGGCCCACGGGCCTTGTTGTCCACGTATGTATGATGTGGCGGTGGGCCCCGGGAGAGGGCTTTACCGACGTGGAAAGCGTGCATGCGGCGCACGCTTATTGGGCTCTCTGTGACGGAGCTTACGTGGATAAGTGGTGCCACGTGGTATCCGTACACGTGGTGGGCCACGTGGCCGTTTATGACGTGGTATGTGCGAGAGATTCGGGAGTTGGAACTTTCAAAAGGAACGGTTGGATTCTCTGGCAGCTGCCCCTTCCATTATCGTAAATCATAAAGGCCCCCTTACCCCTTCCCAAATCTTAAGTTTTGAAGGGAAAAAAGTTTATATAGAGTCGAGGCTCTAAACAATTAAATCAGAGCCTATCTCAAAAATTTTACTAGAAGAGGTTGTTTTGATGCTCAAATATCTTCAAATTGATCATTTCAACATCAAGATGTATGGACATGAAAAAAAAATGGATTTTAATTTTTGAAAATAGTGTATTTTGTAACACATTTTGGGCCGTTAATTTTCAAGATTTTCAAATTTTCATAGATCTCTCAATCTACACTATTTTTTAACCTTTAAATTTTATAAATAAATCTAAGAATATATTTTAAGGCCCTCAAAAATATTTTCAGTATTAAAACTACATTTCTTGATACTATTTAAGATAGGCTCTAATTTGATTGTTTAGAGTAGGCTCTATACTAACCGCACCTGGTTTGGAATTGTACCCCTTTTTTTCCATATTTTTATATTTATAATTTTCTCTTGTGTGCCACCATGCTTTTTCTTTTTTATTGCCACCTAAAATAAGGGTTGACCAGTCATTCGGGTGTGGTGATGAATCTATTTTTTACAATTATAGATATATAGTGCTAAAAATAAGGATTGGGAATCTTAACAGTCAAAAAAACCAAAAAAATAAGGGGAAAAGAAAAGAGCTTTGTTATTTATTTTTTTATGAGTAAAAGCTTTGTTACCTTGGCTCCTTTAAGTATAGGTTTGCTCTAGGGTAGGCGTGCTATGTCCACCTATGTTTTCTTTTAGAGCACATATACTATGCTCCCACGGGAGCATACTCTCTATGTGATCTTTTGGGCAAAAAGAAAATTAATTTACTATAAAATTTTAGTAACTACATAATAATTACTAGATGATTATTTTCAAAAAAAAAAATTTGAATTTTGAGTTTTGTAACACTTAGATCTGGCTCTTAAAAAGTTGGATGGCGTCTATTCAATCTTGAGGACATTATATTTTTCGACCATACAGACAACTTATTTCGATATTTTTTTTTTTTTAACTAAGATTAATTGTGCAGGGTGTAGAGATTACATCCCCAAAATTTGAGATCTAATACATATTCTTAGCATGTGTTATGCCCATGGGAGTAAAAGGATAACATACTCCCATGGGTGTAGTAAACCATTTGGCTTTCTTTCACCCATCCACATCACTAAAAAAAAAAAATTGTAAAAGGATATTGGTGGAATAACTGAAATTATTGGTGGGAATTGCAAATAACATGGGTAGCCATGCTAGACCCCTTTTTCGTAATTGCATTCCTTGATTCTAGGAGACCTTTTAATAGTCATTTTCCTTTGAATAGTAGGCAGACTTGTAAACAATAAAATAACCAAATATATAGCAACCTAGCTTATTTGTTACTTCCAACCGGTAAAAGAAAAATGAAGGCTTTCATATGGTCAAAGAAAATTGGACCTCAAAACCCTTTTGGAGATGCAACTCAAGTGCTAAAAATCTTTATGATGACCTCAGAATTTATTTTCAGTCTTGTATATGAAATTTAAAGCTCAAAAATCTTGTAGATTCACCGACACAATTTTTAGGGCATGAGACCATTTTTTCTAGATTCACAATTGTCGAGGTCAACTGATCAATTTGAAGGTTTCCTATCACATAAACAACCTTCCGTGCCAGTTTTCGAGATTCGCCTCTAAAAAATTCCATAAGGCCTAGGCATTATATAAATTTCTTCCAAAAATTAATGACAATTCACCCATGTTTTGGGTGGGATCTGCATTAGCACAAATATATCTTACATAGATATGTTCGTAAAAAACATTTTTGGGTAATTCAATGGGGAAAACATAACCTTACCTTTTTTTCCAAATAGATTAGGGAATTAACTTTTCTTTCAAGATATCATTGGTGTGTGTGTCGGCATGATTGGAAATCCTCACAATTTATATATTAAAAGGTAACGTCTACTCCATATTTTTTGGTTGTCATAGAGATAGTGAAGATGACTCGTGTTACTTGTTAGGCCGATTTTTATTTGGAATCTACGTGTTAATGACATTCATTATTGTTCTAACTTCTAAGAGTGACGTTCTTTTATTATTGTTTAGAGCACATATACTATGCTTTTATAGGAGCATACTATGCATCTACTCCCTCATGCAAAAGACTCATTTAAAAAGATTATTTTAGGCTAGAATTTTGGGAACCACATAAGAAACTACTAGGTGATCATTTTCAAAAGAAAAATTTTGAATTTTGCATTTTATGACGCTCAGATCTACAGCACTTCAAAAATTGGATGATCTTCAATCTTGAGTTTTTTTTTTTTTTTTAGTACTTGGAGATTTAATTTTGGAAAGTCTTTTTATTGAGATTAGTTTGTGGATTGTAGAGATTATATTCATTTTGGGATCTAAAAAGTATTCCCATAATGCATTATACTTGAGTGAGTAAATAAATAATATACTCCCTCGGGAGTTGGAAATCTTTGCTATTATTTATGGTGTTGGTAAACAACGTGGGGATTTGGCAATTGGGAAGTGTTTAAGAATAAAATAAGATTTTATTGTTTTAATATAATAAAGTAACATTTTTTTATGAGTTTGGCCAAGTCGTTGTGTATCTTCTATTAGTCAAAGGCAACACCTGCAAGGAATGAAAAAATATCTCTCTTTTCTGTTTCTTTGTTTGAAAGAATCATTATGATTTTAAAGTAAATAAAATGATAGAATAATTTACAAGTATGAAACAAAGACTATTATGTGGTGACTTTGGTTAGAACAGGAAGTAAAAAGAAGTGATTTAATGAAAAGTGGTTTTGGGGGTTGGATTTATCACAGGAAACTTCTTTTGACTTGAATCATAAAGGTGTTACCTTCTCGAAACGCAAGAGTGAGACGGCGATTTAGTCAAATAAAAAAAGTTTCTTTGTACTTGACATTAGAGACATTGTCCTTTTCTTTCTTGGAGAGAAAGGTAATTAGAGAAATTTGGAGGTTTTCTCTCAT